ATCCTGAAGGGCTGACAGTGGTTGCCCAGCATACATATCAGGGAATATTAAAATGGTACCCAATTAGTGTAGTGTGAAAGCTTCTGATAATATTTTAATAATATAGACTTTAAACAAAAATTTAGCCTTATTCTGGATAATTAATGCTTGTGAAAGGTTTAATGTGTATTCATTGAGTATGTTGTGATTCTGGCATGTGAGCAGAATATTAAGAGGATGTGTATGCATGAAAGGATTTTCACTTGCATGTTGACTTTTGATTTTTTTTTTTTAATGCAGAGCAATAAGATTTATTTTAAATTAAAATATGAAGATGGTTTGTTTCTCCAGAGTGATGGTGGTAAAGAATTTAGTGTGTTCTATTAAATTTCCTCTGCACTATTTGTGAGACAGTGTCGTGATGAAACATCCAGGTTCTGTGGAGAAGTCAAATTGTACTACTCACAGATAGTGTAAGGTAAATTTGAAAAAAATATTTGCAGAATTTGCAGAGGCTTGTCTGATGTACGTATGCATCCCTGTATCAAACAAATTATTTGCTTTTAAGTGAAAGTAAGCAAATTAAAAAAAAAAACTAATGACATCCAGAGTCAGTGCAAGTGGTTTCATTTCTTGTACAGGGCACTTAGAAGCAAATCATCATATTTTCACTCTTAGTAAAATCTGAGTGCTTTCTGTCAGGGTAACAAAGGTGCATGTTACCTGTCTGAATGGGAAAACACAGTGAAGGCAACTATGCTACTAACACCCTACCATGAGGTCAACTCCTGCAGGTCCAGCCAGGCAGGGGCAAAACACTCATCTTGTTAAGTCATCTCACGATAAAATTTGTAGTACCTCGTCTTTGCTGTTTTTTCACTTTAGGGTAGCTGATGTGCATGCTGGGTACCCTGAGGTAGAAATGCCACTTCTTTATCAGCAAGTACTTGCTTAGCACCATGCTCCTTGACCATCCCCAGATGTGACATAAAGCCCATACCGTGGTCTACCTCATTCTTCATTCTTCTACCCATACCATGGCCTCTACAGCACTCTTTATTACACAGAGTAAATCCAGTGTCCCTAACAGATTCATTTCAATACAAGTTTTTCAACAAACCTGGCTCATAAAAAGTTCAAAGGTTGTCAGAGGGGCTGTTTCTGTTGCTTTCAGAAAGATGTAATATTGGAAATCATCACTGTTTGCCTTCTATAACCATGAACGTACAATAGGCATCAAGAGTTCTTTTCATCAAGCTTTTCTCCCCCATGGGCTTTCTTCAGCCTACTTTCCCATCTACTGTTTCTTCAGGCACTCCTTCTCGTTACAGTTTCGCCCCTTTATATTCAAGGGGCTCCCATTTCAATCTCTACCAGAAGGTTGCTTCCCTGCTGAAAAGGACTTGGGGGCTGTATGGGAACTGTTGAGTCATGGCCTGAACCCCCTGGCTAAGTACCTAGGGAAAAGACCTTGATCTGCCCCAGGGGCAGAGGTGAAGGCAATTCACCTGTGAGACCAGAAGGGATGGAGCCTGGCTGCACCTCTCTTAGATCTCATTTAAGGGTTGACCCTCAAGGTAGGTTCTCTTTCTGGACATCACTCTTTGGTGAAGGTTTGCCCTGTAAATTTCTGATCTTCTGCTACAGATGAGCAATCTTCTTTCCTTCCTTCCTTTATATCCCCTTTTTATTGTGCCAGTCCTTTCATCGTAGTGCTTCTGATGTAACACCTTTCACTCTGTATTGATCTGCCCTGTTGCTGTAGGGGTACTGGTGGATGGCAAGGTGGTCATGAGCCAATAGAGTGCCTTCACATGCCAGAAAGCCAGCTGTATCCTGGGCTGCATCAAAAGATGTGTGACAGGCAGGATGAGGGAGGTGATCCTGCCTCTCTGCTCTTCACTGGAGAGGCCACACCTGGAGTACTGGTAAAGGACTTTTATAGAGAGGGTGGTAAGGCACTGGCACAGGTTGTCTAGAGATGTAGTGGAAACCTCATACTTGGGGATATTTAAGGTCAAGCTAGATGGGGCTCTGGTATTGCTTAGCTGTCCCTGTTTGTTGTAGGGGAGCTGAACTAGATGACCTTTAAAGGTCCTTTCCAACTCTAAGAATGCTATGATTCTATGAAATAGGTGGCTCTTTCTCCCTCATCTCCTTCTCAATTGCTGAAGATTCCTTATTTGTTCCTGTGTTAGGATCTGGGAATAAGTTTTCCTTCCCAACAGTCTTATCTTTGTAGGCAGAGGGAAAGAAATAAATTATTCAGTTGCCCACATTTTAACTATAATGGGATGAGAAGCAGATGGTTAATAGCAACTGTTATTTTTCTTTTCAGAGTATAGGAAATGGTAGGGAGAAATAAAGTTATTGGTTTGGCTAGAAAGAGGTGAGGGATTGCAAGCATCCTGCACTTTTCTCTTTGGGTGAGTAACTTATCATCAAAATCATATGATCTGTGCTTTGATTTGTAGAACTTGTTCTGAACATTAGTCTTGCCTGAATGTGACGTTCGAAAGTTTCCATATTATAGGCAAACAGACAAATGCCCTTGAGCTGAAAGGAAGACCTTGCTTGACTCAGAAAACTAATGTCATTTTTCTGATGTTGTTATTGAAAGTAATGTTATGCTTCTGTGTGTCTGAACATGACAGCAGTTACAGCATGGGTAAGTGCTTATAATCAGCTGTGATAGTGTTTATTTTAGAAATTGAGTGAATCACTAGAAAGCTTCTTGTTGAATGATTTTATCAGGAAAAATTGTTGCCTTGCAGCTATGTAAACTTACAGAGTACCAGAAAATGATGTGGTACTATGGCATCACTACACCTTAACTATATTCTGTCTTCTAGGTATTGAGAAAGTCTCAAAATAACTGCTTTTATTTGATTGTTCCCTTTGCTTATCAACGTCTCTTTTTTCACTTATTTCCTAGTTCTCCTGCCCCTAGCAATTAATTGTTTTTACATTTTCTCTTTACCTACAAATCAAAATGTCCAGTGTTCCTATGTACTTCTGCAACCAGGCTGTGCTCCCGTTATTTTTTTTTTAATTATTCTACAGTATTGATCATTGTCTTCTCCTACTGTAAAGCTTTGGCAGCAAAGTGCCAGTGTTGCAATTACTTCTGCTTGATTCACTGGACGTGACTCTGAGCTCTGCTAAACCTGTCCAAGATCAAACTCTCGATTTGTTTGTGAGTTCAGACTCCTTATCCCAGGTCCTGTGAGTGATCTCTTCATGTGGGTGGCCTGTGTGCTAAAAGGTTGGGCCTTGCATTTTTCTAGCCAAGTCACGTGTGCCTCTGGAATCTCAGAAATTTTCCACTTGATAGAAGAAGGGGACTTCAGAAGCACTGGTACAAGTACTTAGAAATAGAGGGTGAGAAAATGCTTCAGTGTGCCTAAATCCTTCTTTCCTGCCCACTTTTAGTAAATGGTGGTGTATTTCTTTGAAATTGCAGTTTGACATACTGTCAGGTACAGCCTTATTCTAACCAGAGATTACTCTTCTGTCAGTAGAAATAGCACAAGGGTTTGGAAACCTGGATGATACAACTTTAGAGTTGCATCAGTTCCGGTTTAATGCTTTGTTCAATTTTGAACTGGCTCTTATAATAATGAGGAATGCTTCCAAAGTTCCACGCTTCTGTGAAGAGACATCTGCCCCTAGAAACCTGCCTGCTGAAGGGTCAGTAGATGTATGGGAGTCCTGAGTTTAAGATCTAAGGCTCTGTCTTTTACGTAAGTACAGAGAATCACCTCAACAAAGGCAAAATACCATTACAGGTGAGAGAAATACCAGCTCATTTGCCTTTAAGAACATTTTCAGATTTTTCACAAGTTTCCCATGAGTTTACAATTCTTCAACACAAATGACTTAAGTGAAATCTTCTGCAAGTAATATGGTAGGTCAATAAAGGTCCATGTAGGAGGTTATAAGTGGTGAAAAGTATCTGCAGGTGAAAGCCAAGTAGATAAATATAAGATACTTTGGCACCTGTTTTCTTATCTAACCTTTTAAGGTTGTCATTAACAGTTTCCTGTTTGTCCTTCAGTTAAAATCTCTGCTCACCTTGAAGAAGCCAATTGTTCTGTGGGAAGACTTATTGAGAGTCGTGTCTCGCTTCATCTCAGCTGTTGGGCGCTCAGCCCTGGGGTTTTATTTCCAGTTCTGGGTTGAATGACTGCTTCATGCCACAAAATGTAGCCGAAGCCTGGTATCTGTGATCACTGGGACTTATTTACTTCCTTAAAGCTAAATGTTGTGTGGTTTTCTTTTTAATTTTTTGTACTTGTTTAGCTCTATGTCATTTTTGGGGTCCATTTTAAGACTAAAATCAAGAGATATCTCAGAAGGGTTTACGGTTAGTTAGCATTATACAAAATTACACACAGTAAGAAATCTGGGAACTTCTCTCTCTTGCTTCAGTGACTCCAGCGTCTTGACTAGCAAGCCTTCAATGACACGCTGATAAGGGTCATGGCTCTGGAGCAGATCCAGCAGTGGTGTATGGAAGCAAAGTTCCTTATGACTCCTGTCTATTTTCTTGACTTTTGCCCAGTGCAGGTAGCAGAAGCAGCGTGTCTGAACCAGTTCCCTCATCTGTTCTATTGGCTGCCCACTTTCTTCTCCACCAGTTCAGGGAAAGTGAAGAAAGGTTTGCCTGTGCCCAGCAGCACTGCAGGTGTCTGTCCCTCAGAAAGAGTCCCACTGGTGTGGGCGTGCTGGAAACAAAAATCCCCAGTGACTTCACCCAGCTTGGCTTGTGGTGGTTACTCACAATGAGGTCATATTTTTTTCTTTTTTTTTCTTTTTTTTTTTTTTTTTTAGCTCTGCATGCATAATGCTACATCTGGGTTTTTGCATATGAGTGAAACTGCAGCTCTGGGACTGATTCAGGGAGTTTTCTCTGCAGAGTAGTTTTGGTGGGTAAACAGAGATAAGAGGAAGCTGGGTAAATCCAATAACTCCTCCCTTAAGGGCAGGTGCAGCGATGTGGCTCAAGGTACAGAACAGAGGAAATGCCTTGTTGACACAGGTGATCAGAGCAAAGTGGCCAAAATTGATATAAAGATATTAGTATGCCATGTGAAGCCCTGCTTTCTCAAGGCTGCTATTTTTCAGCCCTCCATAACACCTCTGTTCCTTAACCTCCATTTAACCTGGTGACTTGTGGGTGAGTTTTCAGCTCTTCACAATCTCTCAGTAGCTGCGATGCAGCTTGGACTGTGCCGCGTTAACCTATATGGATTATTAAAACAAACTCTGAGTCATATTTGAACTGTATGTGGGATAAGATGGTTATCAAGGTTTATTTTTTCTTATAATTAGGTCTCTTAAACATTGTCTCATTAGATGTATTTTGTGACTGTTGGAAAAGTCCTTGGGGATCTCGTGGTTGTTTATTTTCAGGGGAAGTTCAGATGATATATAGCATACAGAAACTCTGTGAAGAGGTTTTTATAAATGATAGTTAACCAGGCACTTTTCTTAAATTCTTGGTTCTTGCTCTGAATTCTCTCCAGCCTCTGCACTGTTATTACAGCTCTGGTATTTTATAGCAAGTAGGAACATAACATTACAACTGCCTATTCACACATGGGAGACAGGAGAACTGCGTTAAGAGCCCATCAGATAGGAGGGTAAGAGGATGCTTAGGTTTGAATGAAGCCACTTCCAAATTTGGCAAGCTACAGTGCATTGGCCTGGCCTGCACTCCTTTTCCTACCAGCATTACTGGATTTTCAGTGGCTGCAAGCAACTCCTTTCCATCGTGCCCTTGAATGTTATGCAGCCAGTATTTCAGGCATGGCTCATTCCTGTCCCCTTTCTTCAAGCTTAAGGGGCAGCATGGGAAATAGGCACCATATATTTCCCACTGCTGTACAGCAGCTTGAGCTTTTGGTATTGCCTATCCTGTTTCCTCCTTTGCTAACATGACAGGCCCCTGGCTCACTTCCATTTCTCAGCACCTCTATCTGATTAGATTAGTGGAGTTCAGATAATTTTGAAGGTGTAAATATCCTAGGAGACATGTTAGTTTTTTCAGTCATATTTTCTTATAACCTCAATCAGATCTTGTTCTTCATATTCTGCTTCTCTGTTGGTCACCATTGTCCTTGCATCCTCCTCTGCCCCCACTTCTGCTTCAAAACCAGGAATAACTGGCTTGCAGCTTTGTTCAGAGCTTGTGGGACACCACACACAAAGCAGGAACTGCTCTGAAAGGAAAAAAGGGATGTTGCAGGTCCTCTGAGGCCCAACTCTGCCTTTCTGCTTGCCATGGTCAAATTATCTCTAACTAACAGAAGTTTCAGGTGAGGTGGTTAGATAGAGCTAGGTGCATGATGTGATCTCTCCAGTGACTGTTTTTACAATCAAATGTTGCAAAGTTCTTCAGTTTGTTTCTTCTAGTATTTTGCTGGATAATATCCTGGGAGATATTTTCAGACAGATTGGTGAAACCAGAATGCTTACAAACTTAATACTCACAAAAAAAATGCTCACAAATATTTGTTTTTCTGCAAAGCTGTGCCAAAGGTATACACGTTCTTGAATTGATATGAATAGTGACAAATATTAAATAGTTTCAGTCACTGAGACAGGGCAAGGAGGAAAGAATGTGATATTACAGATCACTGTTGTATCAGGAGCAACAGGTACTGAACAGAAACTATGAGACTTGTTTCTGTGCACGGTTTGATGGATTGAACCATGATTAATCTGCAAACAGGAGGAAAAAGGGGATAATTAACAACAAACATGAAATTTGGAATGAATAATTTTGCTAGCTGGAGCCACAGATTAGCTGTATTTTCAGATTTGGAGACTATTTGGAAAGGTTAAAGCTAGGAGGAGTTCTGGAATAGACTGCATCAGCAAACTGGTACATTATTTACTCTAGCAAGGTTTTCAGCGGTAGGGAAAGCTATTCCAGGAGGTGTTAGTCTGGGCATGGTCAGCACTGGCTCAGAGTTTGTGTAAAATGCAGATTCAGGAGATTATTGGGCATAGAAGCAGACTTGAAGAATTTTAAGACACCTCAGAATGTCAGTGCTTTTGATTATTCGATCTACTGAGACGTTCTGTTCTCCTCTCTGGAAAAGAGAAATTGGCCTGTACTGTGGAATGACTAACAAATTATCCCTGAGGAGTGGCCAGTTAGGTAGGAAAATATTATTTACCTTAAAACAAAAATACAACAAAAAACCCACTTTTTAACGCATATTCAAGATACTAATAATAAACCGTCGGTGGAGCTCTGCTGTCTGCCCATAGTTGCGGTCATTTCTTCTCCACAATATGACTTAGTGTTAACATTTGTCATTTCACCCAAGCTACTCATACACTAAAACTAACAATTTGGCCATCACATCTCTCTTGGGAGGTTTGGATGTGAATCATGGAAGAGGTTTTGGGCCCATGCCACAAGCCATGGGAATTGTGGAAGGAAATTATTATATGCTAGATTTGTTTTATAGTAAACCACATACTGTCCTAGAATTAGGCCCCTACTTTACATGCTCAGGAGCTAAATGAAGGAGTCCTAACTAGGATTAAATTCCTAACCTGCAGTTGGAAAGCTTGGCTGTCCCAAATGTAATCTTAGGCTTTCAAGTCTTGTTTCGTTTCTTTTCTTACATATTCTTTCTCTTCAGATTCAAGCTTGCTCTTTTACTTGAAAAAGCTGCCATGATTTCTTGAGTGGCTGGCCAGTATTTTCCTTTGAGAACTTCTCTCTTTCATATAGCTGAATATACTTTGTTGAGCATCCTTGTATCAGATTCTGGCCTGTACATTTTTCTCCTGCTGCTCATGCCCTGTGATTAAAGCAGGAGGTTCCTGAAGCCTCAAGGGAGAGGGTTTTGAACGTGTTTCTGGAGATAGCAGATACTTGAGTTTGGCCCCAAACTATATTTGGTTGTTCTTGCTTTGCTGTAGGTTCTGTCTATCCATGCCCTTACCTACTGACACAGATTCCAAGAGTTAAGGATATTTCTGAAAGAAATGGAAACTGGAGTCTGTGATCACCAAGATGGCAGTGGCAAACAGTAAATCTTATTGATATACAGCCTGAAATGGGAAGATGATTTCAATTTTCTGATTAAAAAATAAATTAGAAATAAAAATTAGTGTTGCTTCCTTACTACACATGTGAACAAAGCAATGGGATGGCCCTTTATAATAATGCAACCAGCCTCATTTGTGTTTTGCAACAGCATATTTATTTTCTTGATCTTAGAACATGACAACATTCATTTAAGGCTAGGCTTTCATATGTGCTCCCCCAGGAGTTGAGGTCATTTATTCACAGAGATAAACCAGCTGAACAGCCAGTGAACTCAGCTGCAGCAGAACCCATTTGCAATATGATTGTCCACTCTGAGTAGCTCAGTGGTGGGGAAAAAAAGTAGGTGGATAAACCCTCTGTATTTGCTTTCAAACTGCAGTAATTTCACTAGCATGCCTCAAAAATCAAACAGTCACCCCTAAACCCCCCATAAAAAAAGAAAATAACAACAAACCAAACCCCAACCCTTTCCACACAGTCTCTGCAGAAAGGAGATCAAAAATTTTAGGGAGATTAAAAAAAATAAAAGTATTATCTGCAATATCTCAGGTATAATCTTTAGTAGGAAATTAAAATAGTTTGTGGGAAGAACTCTTAAGCCAGCCTTGTAGAACCAACATGGCATTTTATTTCTTTGTAAAAATTGCTTTTATAGATGAAAAAAAAATAATTAAAAGGAAAATACAATTAAGCTGAAATTATCTAGGGCTGCGTATATTCACCATAGGAAGTGATATCTCAGGCTTAACAAAAGAAAGCCTGTTGTGCTCATCCAAAAGGTATTTTGAGATACGTACTGAGCTTAGAAGAGCTAATACTCTATTTGAAAGGAATAAAAGATTCTATTTTGGATTTTATTCTTTGCAGAGACACAGCTGAATGGTGAAACCAAGCTTTTCCATGCAGATATATTAGTTAGAATTCATTCTCCACCAAATGAGACCTTTATGCTTCCACCTGCATATTATGGCTCTAATAAACACGTTATCAGCTCATGAAAATGATGGCAAACAGGTGACTCGAGGATTTGATAAGTCAGCAGCAAAGATTAACAGATTTTTCTCAGGGAAAAGCTCGGAAAGATTCCCTTATTTAAAACAATTGCAGCATGTGAATTTACTGCACTTAAATCATTACTGGCAATTAGTATGTGTCAGAAAGGTTGCAGCTGGCTCCAATTACAGGTAGGGCTTTTAGAAACTGAACTTAATTGTATGTGTGATAGTGAGAGGCTGAGCAATGTACACCGACATAATGGTGCTCTCGGTGCAGAAAGGAGGGCAAGATATTATGATCTGGGACATAATTATTTTAACTAGGCCTGGTTCCTGTCTCCTGGGAAATAGATGCTGTAGGGGAAAGCTGCTGGGAATGCAGCAATTCACCTTACTGAGCTCCTCTGGGTGAGGAAGAGCTTAGAATCTACGTAATGCTTACCCTTTGTCTCTCTGCAGTGAATTTGCCCAGCTTTAGGTCTTACAAGTTATATCTAGCCCTGGTTGAATAATTCATCTATCCCAAGGCTTGCTTCCTCAGTCCCTGGAGGTGTGGGTAGCAAAAGATTTGCAGGCTGCCAAGGTGTTTTGATGGGGTATTCCTTGTGCAATTGTTGCATGTGGAAGGCTCTTGTATGCTGCAAGCATGTTAGGCTCACTGATGTGAGGGCTCCTGAACTTACGATGCTCTCCTTAGGATGCTTTTGCTCTGGTCGCATCGTGGGATTGCTCTCAGTTGCACCTCCAGCCTAATCATGGACTGAGGTGACTTTCTTGTCATTCCAGTTCCCTCTCTGTTTGCATGAGTGTTTCTTGTCAAGTGGCAAAATAGCAACGTTTTGAATAAAAGAGTAGGATGTATCTGATCATATAGTATGAATGGGGATCACAGTACGTGGGCTACCTTTCTGTGCTTCTGTAAAAAGTAATGTGCTCTGTCTTGGCAGACAAATTTATCTTTGTTGCTTTTGAAGTTCCAGTCATATTAGAACTTAGTATTTCCTTGTGAGCCATGTTGATCAGGTTAACTCCTGTGCCCTGCTAACAGTAATCTTGAAGTATGAAGGATAAGTATTAATGCTCCCTTTTAGGATTTCAGTGCTGCGTGTG